GTCCAGATTTTTTCTGATTATTCTGATCCAATAGCCCTCTCGAAACAAAACAAAAAAAAAAGGAGTTTTTGAGTGAAAGGCTTCATCTCCACCTCCCCGTGACACCATTTTAACCCAGTCCTCATCTTCTTCCTACTCCTCCTGATACACGGCACGAAAACGTGCTACGGCGCCCCTGCAGTCCGGGGCTCTTAAGGCCAACCCTGCAAGTTACACCGTAGTATTTGATGATTGTGTGTGTGTGTGTGTGTTGTTTCAGGCGACCAATGAGCTCTTGGAGGGAGGAGACGGTGCTGCACATGCTCACTGATGGAAGAGCAGCCGCTCAGGAAGTGGATTGCCGCACTGGGAAAGGAGGGAGGGGGGGTTAGGCACCGGGCGATGTGGAGAGTCTAGATTGCCTCCAGTGCGGTAGTGGCTGCGCTTACGATGGCTGCTTTGCCCGGTCCGGTACCTCGGCCGCGTAGCGGCGGCGGCTGTTGCTCCGTGCACTGGTTCAGACGGGGGTTGCGTCTTCACGACAACCCCGCTTTGCAGGCGGCTATCCGAGAAGCGACCTCTGTGCGCTGCATCTACATCTTGGACCCCTGGTTCGCTGCGTCCTCCGCGGTGGGCATCAACCGCTGGCGGTGAGTGGAGGCAGAGGCCAAGTTGCGGGGGGAGGACGGGGTGGTGGTGAAATCGGGTGCTAGGTTGGAGCGGGTCAGGTTGCTCTGCCCTCCACGCGTTGTGACACGAGTGTCACGTTCATGCAGCGCAGCCCCTTCCAAATGGAAAGTTCGTGCATGACCGATCTGTTAAAATAAGCGCAGGGATTTGAGAGGAGGTCGAGGGTGCTTCCGGCGTGCCATGATTCAATAGGAAAAGATTAAATGAAATAGGGACAGATCTGTCTCCCCCACCCACCCCCCGAGATGGGACGGGTAATTATTGTATGAACGAGTAAATAATGGACCCTGCTGCCTTATAATTCCTCTCCTGCCTCGCCTACTGGTCTCTTTTGACCCTCGCCAACTTCTCGCTCGCTTGCGGAGAATCGCGTAGGATGAGCTGAAGAGCATTCCCGGATGGTTCGCTTGGAGGAGAGCAGCGCGGCGGGGTAAATAACAAGCCCCGCGCAATATGACACTTCCCCGGTTCGCTGCTGTCCAAAGAGGTCAGAGAGGAGGAGTGGTATTTGCCCCACGAGAGAAATGCCTGGAGTCTGCTTCTGTCGGAAATCAGACATCAGAGGACATCAGTAGAATTGGTTATATTCACATTGGAGTCAGATAAGCTTGAGAGGATGGAGGGATTATAACCTTTGCTTAGCGCGTTTGAGTGACGGCTAGGCAGTTCTGTGGTAGGGATGCTTCAGATCTACCTACCCATCCTATCTTTCCTGCCTTTATTTTGATAAACGGCTGAAGACATAACATAGCTCATATGTTCCTCAACACAACAAACCTGTCAGTTGAGTTGGGCTGAGAGTGACTGGCCCAAAGGAAGGACTGCCTCAGGAAGGACTAGAACTCACCATTTCCTGGTTACTAGCCTGCTGCCTTAACCACTATACCAAACTGGCTGTTTTTCATTTCTGCATTGAACAGGTGGCTTAACTCTGTAGCCTAATGGCTCTTTCCCGCTTTGTGATACTTTAATACTGGATTTCCCAGGACATGTTGTTCTTTAGTTTGCCTCAGATAAGAAAGTGTATATCCCCTTATTCCAGGGGTGCACAAGGTTCTTTTATGCTCAGCATTTCATTGCCATCCATGTTCCACACTCAGTCCTTTCAGTCACTACAAAAATGCTTTAATATCCTATAAATGTATATTTAATTAAAATTAAACATAGTTAATAGGATTATTCTCTAGTCACATATTTAGTATTTTCCTTCCTGTCAGACTAAAATTAACTTTGATTTAAAAAAACAGTATCCAGAATGTTCTAAGGCTGCATATGTCCCATATGTCTTCAGGTTATGCACCTATGTTGGTTTCTTGATTTATTGACTTCTAGATGTCAACATGTTTCAAAGTGACACATAAGGAAAGAACAACCATCTGCGAGTATGAGAATTATCTTATGAAAGAGCCACACCTGAATTTTCTCATTTGTTTACTTGGAAAACCTATCTGATATTCAATCCCTCTGTATGAAAGATTGTGGGAAGTGGGGGAATGATGTGTCTGAATATTTCATCACTGAAGACGCATCTCAGACCAG